CAGAGAGGGAAGATTGATGAGCAAAGAAGGCAAGACTGTGCTGGAAAAACCAGCAGAGACAGTTGACCTGACCTGGTGAGAGTATGGAGACCCTATTCATAAAGCTGGGGAACCAGCATTGGACTGAACCAAGCCCTCTGAATGTGGTGCCAGCTAGGAGGCCAAAACAGTCTATGGGACCTCTAACAATGGAGCCAGTGTTTATCCTTAGAGCACAAATGGACTTTGGGAGCCCATTCCCTGTGAAGGGATACTATTGCAGTCCAGATACAGCAAGGAGGGCCTAGGTCCTCCCCGAAACGATATTACAGACTTTAAAGGTGCTTCGTGGAGGGTCTCGCTTTCCCTGGAGAGGAGTTGGGGAATGGGTTGGGGGGTTGGTGGGGAGCATGGGAGGATGGGAGGGGATGGATATGTAAATATGAGTAGTAGTTAAATAATTTTAAAAAGGTCTGTGCTGCCACCCTCCAGCCCCAACCCATTTATTAGCTTAGCATTTCCATATCATTATTACATGTGGGAGATACTATCTGCTAATGCTGCTACATTCTAATTCTACAAATACAAATCTACAGAATAGGAAGAATGGGTTCAACACTGCTTTTTCACTTGACTAAAACCTAACATGAACAACTAAGCCAAATATATGGGTGGAGACATTTTCTAATAAGCATTGGCCATCTCCTATTGAAATAACAAAAGAAACTACCAGAGAATAACCCCTGCATTAATAAAATCAACAGGAGGACTACACACACACACACACACACACACACACACACACACACATTATATTTTATTCTGGCATCTGAAAATTTGCATTATACCACTTATACCACTTGATATTTGCCTGATATGGACATTTGATTGAAGAATACAAATGTTTGGGTACATGTCTTTTTTACAAATGACACCATACAGTTTTCTAGTTTTAATGTATAAAGTATATGTATACACATATACACATACATATAGGTAAATAATTCTAGGTTATAAAACACATTTTTGTAATTTTACTTATTTGAATTTTATACATCTTATAGAATTAAATAGTATTTATTTAAAAACAAATAGTAATAGGGCTCAGTGAAATATTTTTTTCCAGAAGATATTTTCCAGTAAAAGATTTGTAGAACATTTATATAAGCAGAGGAATAGTCAGCTAAACATAATTTTCTAACTTACAAACACATATCATATTGAATTTCAGCATGTAAAGAGGACTCTGGTAACAGCAGGACAATAAAAATCACATCTCTAGCAATTTACAAAGTCTAGTTTTCCAGTGGCAGTTTTAAGAGAGTATAAGCCATACACATTTGTTAGCTTTGTACCTTCTTTATTGTTACTAGCTTAACGTAGAGGGGGAGAAAACATCAATAAAGAGCATAGTGAAAACAGGTCATTCCCATAAGCCTAAACAAGAGTCAACACATTGTGGGCACTCACAGCTAGAGGATGCCTCAAGTGCTGCGTGCAATCAACACTTTCCTGGCTCAGTTTACAAAGAAAGGACTCATGTTTTCATCTTTTGTTTGTTTTTCTAAAATTAAGAGATTTGAAACCCCAGTTGATTTTAGTTTCTCAAATAAGAACATTAAAAGTAGCTGAAACACTTTAGGTCCTTATTATATAAGCTCATGGTCAGTAGCACTCAATAATAAATCAAAACCAGCTGCATTTTAGGTAATAAACCAGGAAAGATATGACAGTTTATGCAGAGACTCGGAATAGTGAGCACTCAGCCCTAAATAAGCAGACTCACATATCACCTCCCCTCAAAGTTCAAGGAACATCATGGAAGGGGAGGTAGTAAGAGCTGGAGGGTGGGGAAGAGGGGAGGAGGCTGTGAAGTGCTATCATCTAGACGACATCTATGCTCACCACTGTACCACCAATGCTGCAAGGGTTATCTTCTGGACAGGACATAGTTGTTGCACTCATGAATAAAAGCAGCTATGCTTGCCTGTCCACGATCAGCATAAGATCAAAAACTACCAAAACTCCAGCATGGATGAGGAAAAGGCTCATGAGGTCCCACCTATAACTGAGGAGCTATTGGCAGTTGGTGGTGACTGGGGGAGAGAATTATTGTTTCTGGGGGCAGGATGTGGTCACTAGTAGGTTCCCTAATCTCCGGTGGATGGCTCCACACCAAAGTAGATACAGGAAGCACTAATTAGCCTTGGTAGAGTTATCAAAAGGAAAAGAAGGGAGGGAGGGAGGGATGGAGGGAGGGAGAGGGATGAAGTTGGGAGGGAAAAGTTTTATGAGGGTAGTAGGGAGGATATTAACAAAATACGTTATATATATGAAATTCATTGAGAATAGAGAAATAGTGTTTAATATATGTCTGTACTGAACATGTAGTGGGTTTTTGTCATTGTTCCACAGGGTATAACGGCTATACACATAGCATTTTCAATGTATTAGGTGATATAAAAATAATTCAAAGTCAATTAAAATACTTATGAAGACGTGCATAGGACACACAGCATTTCCAATAAGGGAATTGAGTATCTGTAGATTTGAAATGTTCAGACAAGTCTTCAAACCAATCCCCTATGAATATCAAGGGATAAACAGACCCATACTTCGTAACTCAAAAGTTCTCTGCACTAAGAACAGTGCGTTTGTAAATTGGACTTTTGTTGGAACCTCTTGATCATTCTAGTGAGTATATTAGACAGAAGTCTCATTTTCTATGACAAAATAGCAGGTTTCTGAACTTGGATTCCATTGCCTGTAAACATAACATCTGGAAATCAACACACAGCATGCTATTTTTCAGAGCTAATTTTTTTTACCATAACCATGTATCCTTGGTAGATATGCAATTTCTCATTACTTCTTGAATTATTTAGTCGACAATCAGTGCATTGTGTCACTCAAAAATCATCAAATTTTAAACACCAGAAAGGAAAAACTGAGGTAGTTTAATAAGGAGTTTTTAAAGCAATTATATACTTATTCTTCCACAAGGAATTGATATTCAAATGTAGCTGGTTGATTTTGTTCAAAAAAATGCATTGCAAGCAACCCAAGAACCCTGTGCACTTGTGACACCAAACTAAAGAGCTGTCACAGACTTTTCTTTCTTTATCTCATAGCCAAAGTCAACCACATGACCTTACTCATACTATGGAAAAATACATGTTTTATGGATCAGACACAGACATAATTCATGTGTATTTTTCAGCTTGCAATACTGAAAGGGATCATTTAAAGTCTAATAAGTAGTAATCAATGCAGGACCTTCTAGGCATAAAGATGATTATGTGAATATTATGTGAATATTAAATTTGATCATCAGGATTGTGATTCTCTCCTGGAAACACTGTCTTTTCTCTTGGATCCCTATTTCTTTCTACATATTTTAAGTAGTCTCCATAATTGTTCCCACCTTATGGTAGAAGGGGTTGCTTGAATGCAGCACTCAATAAACATGAAGAAGCAGGAGGAAAATCTTAGGAGCAAAATATACTGAATGTGTGTTCTTTTTAAATATTTGAATAGCATATGTTAATTACACACAATAATGGATCCCATTATGGCATTGTGATGCATGTACATAATGTATGTTGTTTATATTCAGTTCTAGAGAATCTGTTTATTACCATGAAATACCAGCTATGTTCAGAGGAAAAAGCGCAAATTTTAAGGGTTCTGGTGACTACATTATAGAAAGCATATTATGCTTTGCTTAGTTTCACTGATCTCTAAAGATAAAATCCTACCAATTAACCAAAAAATACATAGAAATAAGACTTAAAGACATGGCCTGACAATAACTATTATTCTAAAGCAAAAGTAGTCAAGGGATTTCTAAAAGACCCATTGAAATGGTTATAATTTTAATGGATTTGTTTTCCTCAATTGCATGGTTATTGTATGACTATCTTTTCTTTCTCTTTCTCACTTCACCGAGGGAAAATAATTATCATGTAACTTACAACATGTGTAAATTGTCCTGTAATTATAGAAGATACTCATTGTCTCTATAAATACTTATAGGAGAGGCAAATAACTGATCACTGCCAAGAAAGCTAGACACAAACCACACTTTGCACCTGCCAAAACTGTAGGTTTGTACCGGAAAGATTTCTTACATGTTTTTCAAGGACCACAAGATTTCTTAGAATAAAACACTGCTTAAAGGTATAAAATGCAGAGTTCACTTTTCTAAGAGGGTGGTGTTTAGGTTACAGGGATGACATCTGTCCTTGGTCCCCCAAGACCCACAGTCTACCAGTATCCACCCTCCTTTGAGCCCCAGGGTACTCATGCCATGGGCTTCATCCACCTGACTGGCTCTGCTTGCTTCTCTAGCAGGAGCTCAGGGATGAATGCAGGTACTTCTTACCAAGGTTCTCACTTAGGACTGAGTGCTTTGGAAAAAAAATGCTTCCAGTCTGAAGCTTTCTCCACACTTTTCTCCGTAACCTTGTAGCATTGATAAAAGTGTCTGCTGAAAGGTGACCCAAGGCATTTCAAAGTCTTGTGAGTGAGTTTCTTGTACATTACCCATACATTTAAACCACCCTTACATGAAATCTTTTGGAATAACTCTGATTTTAGTGTGTAATCTTTTCTGTAACAGTTAACTCCTTTTTGTTTCCTTTTAAATTTTTTCTTAATTTTCCCCCAGGTAAAATTCCACTAATAAACCAGTGTCCATGCTAACAAAACTTTTAGTCAGAGACATAGTCACATGGACCAATGATACCATAACATAAAAATACAATGCCCAATGCATCTTTGCATCTTTTATATATAAATGGAATAAATTTAACTAAAAATTCCTGACCACTAAGTAACTTTAGAACAATTTCTGTCAATCACCAATATATAACGGCTACTCTAATTGATGCAAATGTTTTAGTGACAAAGCAAATTTATTATGTATGTTGTATAGAACATACAAAAACTAAATGTCACATTAAACTATATCATGAGCATAATTCAATAATTCATCTTTACAAACATATAGAAAGGATTACCTTTTCACCAGTTTCCCCTTTGATGCCTTCAAGTCCCTGTTCTCCCTGTAAAAGAAGAGTGTGATGTAAAGTAATGAGAATACTTCTTACAGTTCATGGAATTTTCAAAATACTAGCGATATCTCTATGACTAAAAAAGTTCAGTGACTTCAGTAACTCACTCTGATATGAAGTTCTAAGGCAATATTAACAATGCAAAGTCTGAAAAGTACAAAATACTCAGGGAACAGCCTTTTAGACACTTCCCTAACTTCTAGACAAATCTCATCCCCATAAAGCCAAGCATCCTGCACCCTGCGTATTAAGTGTCTGAGAATGGAACCATCTAGATTTGCTTTGAGAATTGAAGGAAGCAGCATAGACCAAGTTTGCCACTCTTGTTGTCACTAGCATCTCATTAACCCCAGAAGACACAGACTTCTTTGAAACCTACCTTCCACATGAGTGTCTAAGGAGAGGTTCATCATGAGTTTATTTAGAATTGAACCTTGGAGTCCTGAGTCTACCTCCACCCCCACATGCCTGCAGCCCTAGACTCCTCTCTGGTCTGTTCATGTGACTCACAGTCACAAAAAGAGCTGTTCTCTTTAACTCTACAAAGTGCAAGTATTTCTTTTCCTCATGAACCTTCTCCAATTTCTTAGTTTATTTTCTGATTTAATTTGCTATAAATAGATTGATGACATTACCATCAAACATTTGGTAAACACTCATTGAGAGCCTCCTAGATGTCAGGGACCTATGGTTATGTAGCTAGGAGGTGAGTGTTAAGAGATCAGTTTTATCTGCCATCCACTCACTGGGGGTTAAGGCACACAGCATTCAGCCAGTATCTTCTTTTTTGTGTTATTTATTTATCTATTTATCTATCAAGTTTCATTCTACATTCCAACCCCAGTTATAACTCCCATCCCTCCATTGCCTCCCATCCAGCCCACCAACACCCCCTCCTCCTTCTTAAGAGACCAATATTTGTGTTTATTTGTTTCGTTTTTCTATTTATGTTTTTTTTAAGTGAAGATTTTTATGTATGCCAGGCTGTCCTTGAGTTCACTATGTAGATCACAATGGCCTTGAACTCCTGATCGCCCTGCCTCCATCACAGAAGTGCTTGGATAACAAATAAACACATGCCATCATACCTAGCTAGAGATGAAAAGTTTCTGATTTCAACTTTTCTGTACTGCCTCCACAAAGTGGCACATGATATAATTAAAATCCACATGGATCATATAGATTAAAATGTGAGCTCTTATCTTGTTGTTTATAGATAATTTATGAATATATTAGCATACATATACAAACAAATGCATGCAATGTGTAGAAACATGATTAAATAATTGTTTTCTGCTTCCTTTATTCTAAAAACCATATTAGAAAACAATAGATTAGTTCATAAGTATTTTTTATCACTAATGCATGGGCCTAACTTTCTTTTAATAGTCTTTCCCCTTGAATATAGAATTTAACTCCATCTGGTAATTCAAGCTGACACTGAAGCTGCTAAATGCCCCTTAGCGCACTGGCCACGATGTCAGCATGATGCAGCCACCACAAACAGCTGCTGGAAAGTCCAAAACTATTTCCCAGCAGATAAATCTGCGTATCCCTTGGCTTGAAACTTAATTCACAGATGCAGCACATGCTGTACCAGTGGGATTTGTCTAGAACTGCCGTGAAGGGACTCGGAAGCATGCGGTTTCATGGCTCCAGGTCCAATCTTATCATGTCTATGGGCTAGGAAAAGTTAGCAGTTTTAAAGCTGTAACTATAAATGAAAGTATATCTTTTCAAATGACATATCCGGCTTTGGGGAAAAACAAAACAACAAAACCTAAATGCATAGCAACTTCTGCCATTTTGTTATTAAAACCTGTACTGCTTCACCACAGTATAGAAATGACATGTTTGGCTTTAGGGGACATCTAAAATTGCATCAATAATGCTCTCCCCTGTGGAGGGATTGTCTGGGCTGTATCATGACAGCTGGCCCCACCTGAAGTGACTCCTCTTTCCTCCAGGAACCTGGAGTATATTAGTTTCTGGGCATCCAGGGATGCTTGGCACACAAAGTTGAGCTTGTTCCCAGAGAGAAAAAGTGGTCCTTGGATAGATAGTAAAGGATCCAGAGGAAGTTCATGTTGGTGAAGAGAAAGATGCCAGGCACGGAAAAATGTACCATGGATGGTGAAAATCTTCTTCATCATGAGTATGAATGTACCACTCTGAAGGTTTTTTTAAATTATTATTATTTATATGAGATTGAATCCATAGCCTCATACAGGATAAGCAAACACTGTGCACTAAATTATCTCTGCAGCCCACTTTTTATTTTTCATTTTGAGACATGATTTCACTAAGTTGTCAAAGCTAGCCTTAGACTCACTCTATAGGCTATCAGTCTGCAATATTCCTGTTTCAGCCTTCCAAGTAGCTAGGAATATTGGTCTGTACTGCCAGACAAAAGCAAAAAGGTATGCTTTGAAGAGTTTAGTGGTGTGTGATCCTTGTACTGTTAGATATTTCATGTCATTGTGAACATTTTGCTTAACCCAGTCTGAGAAGCACAACACACAACATGCAAATAGGAACCAATAGCAGAAAACACTGTTCCATTGTTCACTCTGATTGATAACAGAAAAATGTTTCTGGTACAGCCTTAACACCTCCATGGCCCGGAGAGGGCATCACTACTGATTCTTCGGGAAGGCATACTGTTAACACCCTGGAACAAATGTTTCCTTGAGATGTCTCTGAGAAGTAAATGTTTCTATGAGTTCTCCTTGGAAAGACTGGTTTATTAGCTTAGTTTGTAGGAAACATTTATAAAAACCGTTACCTTTTGACCAAGTAAGCCTGGAATACCATGTAAGCCATTTTCACCCTAAAAAGAGTAACCAAAATAAATCCTATTAGCCACAAATGATACTGAAAAAGACCCCCCCCTCACATATACCTTTTTTTGGTTGGTTGGTTGGGTTTTAGGGATGGGGATTCTCTGTAGTCCTGGCTGTCCTGGAACTTGCTTTGTAGACCAGGATGGCCTTGAACTCACAGAGATCTGCCTGACTCTGCCTCCTAAGTGTTGGGAAAGCTGCAGTGTTATGAGAAAAACTAACATTTTTTCTAGATATCTGTCACATGTAGGATCTTCCAACTTTCCATTATGTCACAACTCCATAAACATCACCTCAAATTTTAAGGTGAGGGAATAGGGGCTCTGAGTACTAGTCTCACAGTCTCAGGGTTATCCAATTTGTAATATCACCTAAGATGTCTAGTGAGTGCTCAGTGATTCCAGAGACTGCATATTCCACATGCTATTTAGTGATCTTTCTTTCTTTCATTCATTCTTTCTTTCCCTATCATTTATTTTCTTTTTCTTTGCTTTAAAAAACTCTGGGCATATTAAAAAATGTTTTTTATGGGGTAGGCACTGTTTCCTGAACAGAGTTACTATTCTCATAATCGTCTTATATAAATGGGTACACAGTGACTAGGCTTCAAACTCTTGCCCTTCAGCTGTGACCAATATCCTGCTTCCCTACACGGTCTGTGTTTAATTGTGTCTTATAAGTGTCTTCTTTCCTAATATGAGATATCACATATGCACATATGCATGCTTTTATCAGATTATGGACATGCTTATTTCTTTATCCATATCTCTTGATTGCTGTGGGGTCAATTCTGAAGTTGTACCAAAGGCAATTCTACATGAAACAGTTCCCTTTTCACATGGCTCCTGTCATGGGCATGAACATTTTCAGCAGATGCCTATCAGGTTCCATTACTGGAATTCTTGGTCATTATGTTGACAAGTCTGCTCTGTGAAGAGCACACCAGTTAGAAGGAGATACTTCATGGGGTGGGGGTGGGGTGCACATTCTCAGTAAACCCTCGGGCATTTACTTCAGTCTAGGAATTTACCATGGCTCCCAACTGTCCAGACTCAGGCAGCTCAAAATAAGCTAACAGCGCTACGATCTGCTCCATTTCTGTGAAATATTCCTAAAATTCACTTAATAACAGTTTCTAAGCACTACCAAAAATGTATTATTTCTAAGAATTATTTCAGGGAAGATAAACATATTAAGAAGAACACCATATCTTCGAATTTTAAAATAACAATGAGATACTATACCTAAATATTGAGATCATAATTTTATTACTAATACATTTTTGAAAAGTTTTACTGTTTCTTTTTCCTTTTTTAAACCAGAAGTGTACTGCCATATACATGCACACACCATACTTTAAGAGCTAAGGTTTTTCTTTGTTTAGACTAAATTATCAAAGTATTCTTTAGTGTAGTTGCAGTTGTCATAAGGGCAAAACTTGGCTGTGGTATGTAATTACATGTGGAAGCATCACAAAATAGTGTAATTATCAGTACACTAAGCATTTCTACCACTTAAAAGTTATTACAGTTCTTCACCCGAGGCACCAGGCAAGACAAGCAGAAAGCTGCAGTACCATCTGATAAGGAGTTAAAGAAATAGTTTTCCAAGGAACATTCTATGGAAATGAAGCTTCTATTGCTCATCCCTGAAGTATGTCCACTTGTTCCTAAGAAACAGATTATCTTCCTCAGTTGATCCAATATAGTATTTTATATCATGCTGCAAGTTACTCAGGATAACAAGATACAGCATATAATCCACTAAAGCCCAATGATACGGTATTTACCCTGCCAACAGCCCATTTTGGAGAAAGGGGAGTGGTAAAGATTCTTCCTCTCTTCTCTGTTAGCAGCCAACTTTTACATATCATGTGCCCAGAGTGCTGGGCACGGGTGTGTCTTTAGTTGATGTATTTTGATTATTGTAGTTAAAATATGGTGTTCCCCTATGGCAAGTGTTAATTGATCTCTCCTCTTTCCCTACTTAGATATTTAAAATCACTTCTAATTGTCTTTAGTCCATCAGAGGAGTGTGAGCATACTGGTTCTCATTGCTATTTTGGGGGTGGTGGATATGAATCACCATAAAAGGACATAATTCAAGTATGCTAATGGCAGGTGTTGATACTATAAAACTTTATTTAAAACATTTATGCCAGTAGCATCAATCTTCTTAGTGCCTATTCTGAAACACAGGAGCAAAACCCAGTCAGGGAAAACCTAATTTTACTTATAAAATTAATACTTGCCTAACACGAGTGGAAGGACACATATCTGCTTTGTGTGTGTGTGTGTGTGTGTGTGTGTGTGTGTGTGTGTGTTTCTGAGTTCCTGCTTCCTGCTTCTTTTTTCTCCCAGTACCATACTAAAGAAAGTATAAATGCTTCTCTTTTTTCTTTCAGTCAAGATTTTAGTTCATTATTGTAAAAAATATGATCAATAGTTTCAAAGATATCATCATACTATTCAAAACTCATTTCTGAGGATATTCTTTCTATTAAAAGCCTATTATATATATATCACACCTATACTTGGTGTGAGGGGAGAATTGAATTCCAAAAGTTGCCCTGTGACCTCCTGTATGCACCGCTCACACATGAACACACACTCTCCCCAGATTATATAATACATAAACTGTATTTATAGTAACCAATCATCATTATAAGCTTCCAATTAGCTTTTTCTATCTGATTCATGTTGTGGAGCACAACTAAAAAAGACATATGTATGCTTACGAAATTAAAGCTTTCTGAACCTAAAGTTTAGCTCACTCATTTCTGTTATCCTAAATTATGGGAGAAAAAAAATCTTCTAGCTCTTATACATGACATCCATTTGGGTCACTATCAAGGCTTCCATTCAGTAAACCATTAGTGACAGTTTGGAGTCTTAATATTATGACACTGCTCTCTGGATATACACTGGCCACTCAATACATGTCTTAAAATGTGGCTTTCAAAACTCAGCATATTATGTCAGAAATGGTCCCACACAGAACAGAAAGCAAGGCTATAAACCCCCCCACCACACACACACACACCTTGCTGTTTGGAATGCTAAGTGTTCTTCTATTAATGTAATAATGTAATTTGCATAAAATATGTTTGCATATACTGATTTTGTAACCAAGTATAAGCACTACCAATACTTCTTTTCAAAGGTAACAATTACATTTCCAATTCTTTTTCAAAATAGTCAAATATAAGTTATATTGAGCTTTAAAAAAAGCTAAACAATTTAGAAATCATCTCCCTAGTGAAGTTAAAGAGACAGCGACTTTTGTAGGATTGTATAAAAATCTGGGGTCCTGTGGAATTAATGCCATCTTTTAAAAGTGAGCCTGTCAGAAACAAAGATTTGGGATTATTATATTGTCAAATAGAGGTTAAAGATAGTCTCAATAAATTTGAAACTGCAATACCATGGTAGGAGAATCAAGACATTTAATCTGAATCATCGTACTGACAGATCTGATATGTGGTAACTGATACCTACATTGAGCAGTCCACCAAGTGAAAGAAGACTTAAGATATAGAGCACAGTGCCATCAGCCAGCTCCTCGTTAAGGACAGTGAGATACCAGTCACTGCAAACCATTTCCTGTCCAGAGTATTCCTCGTGATGAGTAATTCATAGTGTGACTCCGTATCAGTTACCTCTACTAGAGCTTAGCTGTGTTAAAGCCAGCGGTTAACTTAGTTTTTTAGCCTTGCAGTAAATGATCATGGAATCTTGGAGGAAGAAAAATTCCTAGTGGTAATAAAAAAAAAGGAAATTTTTCCATTTGGGACTGGATGAAAAGAAAGCCAGATAATGAAGACTGGCTATGCTTAAGAGAGCAGGGAGGGCAGGTGACGAGGAAACCGGAAGCAAATTCTGGAGCTGTACACACTGTCCCTATTACATTTCATTCTAGGAAGCAGCACTTCTAAGCTTTGCTAGGTAGAGAGTCTCCTTCCCCCCTACTTCCCTGAAGTTTGCTTCTGCAAAAAGCCTTGGGAGTTCTTACCAACCAACTTTTCCATTGATCCCTCAACATAGTTGTGTTGATGAATAGAGCTGGAGAGAGAGAGCTAGAGACCATGCCTCACCCTTTGCTCTTTCCAGTTCTGTCAGCACCTGAAGCCACGCCCAAAGGGGTGTGGCCACTGTTACAGATTCACTGGCAAGATGTTGCTACATAGTTGTCCACAGCTGTCTTTAATTTCCTTCCTGTACTTTGGGGCTAAGATCTCTTGAGTTCTGCATAATTCAGCTAGCACTTATGAAGACTCTATCAGCGTGGATGTCCTCTGTTGGTCCAAAAGTAGGCATCACAGAGATGAGATAGACAATGATTCCTTCAATTCCAGGAGCTCCCAGGGATATAGATGTACAAATACTGGTGGTGTAAACAAAATACTATGTGAGGAGAACGGAGGGGCTTCCAGTTTGCTTGCTGGACCACTTTCGTTAAAAAAAAAGAACTTTGAATATGGTAATCTGTGGTGATGTCGATGACAATAAAAGATCAAAATATCAATTGTCTGAATTCATCTTCAGTTTTCCAATTTACCTGATAGCTTTACCTAATATCATATACTGGTGCAATTGGCCCTGGCTTGGCTGGCTGAAAGATGCTTCTGATGGAGCCACTTCAAGAAAACTGTCCTATCTAAAGTCACAGATGTCTGAAACAACAGCAGTTACATCTTTAAATCCACCAAGATTTAGTATTCTTCACCAAGAATAAACCAAGAATAATATAATTAGCCACTAAGCTATGTAAAGAATCAATGTGTGATTTTTGCCAGGTAGTATTTTAGTATTTATATACTACATACCAAGTACATGTTAAACCAAAAAGGGACACTAGCAGACTGGGTTCCTGAAATCTGGCTAACTGTTTGGTAAATAAAAGTCAAGTGCTTGGGTGCCAGATACTCTGCATGTGTTGAGCTCATCGTCCATCTGTTGTGATCTCTGCCAACTGCTCTACTTGGGAT